TTTAAATTTTACAGGTATATAAGTATTTTTACAGATTATGTTAGCTTCATTCAACTTTGGTCCATATTAATATTGAAGAACATACCACCTTCTTCTTATGAAATATTATTTGATAATGAAGATATCCAACTGTTCAGATGAATAAGTTTTGTTCTATATTTCAGTCTTTAGAACCACCACAATTATTCTTTTAAATTTAGGTTCTGAATATCATAGCAAATTAGACAGGCCTAAGAGTTTTTAAATGCTTTAAGTTATACCAAATTTATTGTTTTATTGAGTCTGGACAGTTTGTGCCTCCTAAATATGGATAATACTGAATATTGGAAGAACCAGCATTAAGGCAGATAATGGCAACAGAGTTGAAATGTTCATTAAGAGCTATGCTAAACTGCATGTTCATTTTATTGTTTTTCAGTCTGCTGGAATGGAGCATAAAGCTGAATCACTTTCTGCAGCAACTTCCCAGCATAACAGCAAGAACTAGTTTAAAGCTATATGCAACTGTCTTTCAGGGTTATAAATCTTTTCTCAGTTATTGGAATAAACCTTACTAAATTCATTTCTAAGTAAATCTACATAAATAAAGCCCCTTATCTAAATATTCAAGAAAAAATAGAACACACTGATCTCTATGTCCTTTAAAGAATTTTTCACAGAAGTTGATTTGCCTAAGATCATGTATACTAGAATATAGAATAGTCTAATGGTCTAATAGAATAGAAAAATATTTTAATTGCTGTGATGGAAAGTATAATGGAAAATTTTATTCTAGCATCAACAATGGAATCTCCAGTGTATGAAAGGTTGTAGAAAAAACCCTGCTATAAACTTCCTTTATTGCATTAGAAAAGTATATTTTAAAACAGATGTGGAAAGGCTGCACTGCCAACATTTAGCAACATAGTGGCCAAATTCTGGCAGCAGGATGTTCCCCGTTCCCCTAGGACAGAGATAGATGAGTTCTCCTATTCTCATAATTTCAAAAAATTATGTGCTAAAGTTTTGTCTCTTTATTTTTAGATGACATCACTTCATTAGCAAATATTTGGCTCCAACTTTGAGAAGTTACCCAGGGATTTTTTTAAAAAATCATTAACTACTATTGGGGAAAGGAAGAGAGAGAGAGAGATTGCAATGTATAAATTTACTTAAAGATCACTAATACATACATTCATTTTGCTAAATTATTATCATTTAATCATTAAGTTCCAAAAACCTTTCACTAACAAAAAAGAATAAAGCTAATGAAGAGAAGGATGAGGGGGGACATGATAGCAGTGTTCCAATATCTCAGGGGCTGCCACAAAGAAGAGGGAGTCAAGCTATTTTCCAAAGCGCCTGAAGGCAGGACAAGAAGCAACGGATGGAAACTAATCAAGGAAGAAGCAACCTAGAACTAAGGAGAAACTTCCTGACAGAACAATTAACCAATGGAACAACCTGCCTCCAGAAGTGGGAATGCTCCAACACTGGAAGTTTTTAAGAAGAGACTGGACAGCCATTTGTCTGAAATGGTATAGGTTTCCTGCCTGAGCAGGGGGTTGGACTAGATGACCTCCAAGATCCCTTCCAACTTTATTATTATTACTATTATCACTATTATTATTATTATACAATGCCAGCACTTTTCTTTCTCATGTAAAGAGATCACACACTTTCAGAATATTTGAAGAAAGCTTTGAATTTCTAACTTATGTGCAAATATACATAGTTCAAAAGTAATGAATAGTTCCGCTTATGTCAAAAATAATACCAAATAGTTCCACCTATGCCAATAGTAATACCAAAAACTCTAACGCAATAGCAGAAATTAAGAAAGTCAACTTGTAGCTCTAAACCAGGGGTGTCAAACTGCCGGTCCACGGGCTGGATGTGTCATGCCAAAACTGCGCCCACCCCATTGCCGGCAATGAGAAAAAAGTCACAATATGTCTTGCCACGTCACATGACATTGCAAGTTTGACACCCCTACTCTAAACTATCTGAAGCTCATAGAATAAATGCAAAAAGTGACTTATTCCAATTTCAAATAAAAATTTACAGCACAGTTTTAAAAATAAGCTCTTACAGTACTAAGGATTGAAAAGCCATCATTGATTGGCTGATTGGGGGTTGGCAAGCTTGTTGATATAAATCACTGACAAGGTTACTCTCCTGTGAATTAGATGCTACTAAAACATCTAATTTAAAAATTACTTCTTAAAAATCTACAAACTATATAAATCATCATAAGTGCAAATATAATACACTATAATATAAAGAAATTAAGTATATATCTGCAGTCTGATGGCATGCAGCCAAACTCAAATCTACTTGTGGAAGAATCACTCAGTTAGAAGTCAATACTGAAGCAGATATGAACCACAAAAAAAACACAAAGGATTTTGCTTTATTTTATTGTATTTTATTTTAGTGGGAAAAGGAAGGAGTTGAATTGAAAGAACTGAAGAACTGTTGATAGATTTCCAGTCATCTCCACCCCACACTCATCAAGACATAAAGGATTATATTAAATGTCAGACAAATAGAATGAGAGTTAAGGATAATGAAAAAGGTATGCATATAAGAAAACTAGAAGATAACACAAAAGAAAGAAAACCAGATAAAATATCGGCAATATAAGAATCACAATTATCTAGAAATGACCCTATGTAAACGTATAACATTAAAATAGGGACACATAAAAAATTACTGCCCCACCACCCATCCTTATACATTTAATTGGCCAACTACTTAAAGAATGTGTCATATCACTTAAAATGTTCAAGACTGCAAAATCAGAAAGTCCACTGAAGTTCTAAATCATCTTTGAATCTTTCCAAAATTATTTGAAGATGACTGATCTGATTCAATCGTAGCTCCTGTCATTCAAACAATCTTTTAAAAACTTTATAAATCTCTATTGTTTATCCAGAGATATGCAATACGTTCTTTGTGAAATTGTAAAACAATAGATTATGCAAATTTAATCATACTTAATTTGTTGTCTGTTAAAAGTAGCAAGTAGCATATTTGTTTGGTTGCTTTATTAACCCAGTTTATATATTCCAAATAAATCATAGACTTGATCATAGTTAAATATGACTATGAGAAACCAAAGTCCACGTGTAGTATTATGTCTAGAACAAGAGACAAATAGGACTTTGCTACATTGGAGTAAGATGGTGAAGGAATAGGAAACCAGTTCCTGGGAGGAACAGTTAAGGGACTGAATATGTTTAACCTGCAGAAGAGAAGACTGAGAGCAGGCAGGTCACCAGTCTTCAGACAGCCATATACAGCAGGGATCTGACTTGTTCTGTCACCCCAGAGAGTAGAACCAATGGGTTGAAACTTCAGTGAGGTATATTTGGAATAAGTGCCTAACACAGTGTTTCTCAACCTTGACAATTTTAAGGCATGTGGACTTCAACTCCCAGAATTCCACAGCCAGCATTGCTGGCTGTGGAATTCTGGGAGTTGAAGTCCACATGCCTTAAAATTGTCAAGGTTGAGAAACACTGGCCTAACAGATAGTGCCTAACCAGAAGTCAGATGGCCATCTGTATGCAATTTAACAGGTCCTTCACTGAGCAGAAGGTTGGACTAAATAAGTCTTTGAAATACAGGAATGTCACACATGGAATAACAAGCAACAAATGTTATTTTGTGCAACAAATGAAGTGTTATTGATTTTATTTTTTATTATAAATAAAAAATAGATGTTAATGAAATCTGGTTAGGAGATACCTAAGTTTAAGATACAGTGTATACTATTAAGTAAAAAAATGTTTCTTCAGGGTCACAAAAGCTTCCAGTCTCTGAATAATGAAAGAGCCTGAAAGCTTAGTCACTGCAGTTGAAATCAGAGGCAAGTAGGAAACAGGATGGGGCTTTAGGACTTTTCTCTGCTTATAGAGGGGAAACTGAGAGAAAGAACTCCATACCATCTCCTAGTAGCAGGGATGCAGTTTCCATGGCAACCTCACATCTGATTCAGAACTCTTAATGGTCACCATGGCAACAAGTGTCTCACTTGCCATTTGCAGAAAATTGACAGGTATTTAAACTGGAATCATCTTACCATATCTAAAGAGGCAGGCCTAAGACTACACTAGGAATCACAGCAAGGCTCCATTCTATACTGGATGTATCATTTCACTGGTAGATGGTTCAAAATGATTCCACCTGTAGCTATGTTTGAGAGTGCTAGGTCAATGAATTCCATGCTCTGTTGCTATGTTCATAATGTAGCAGGGAGGAAGACAGGTTTCAAAATAGTGGGTGGCTGATGTAAATTCATAATCTCCAAGCATAAAGCCAATGAGAGAAAGAGACACTTAAATTCATCCTCCCAGCTAAATACTTACATTGCCATTTATGCTTAGATTTCACTTGGAGGCAAGAAAATAAATTGTCATATCAAGAGAGAAAGTGAGTATAAATAAAGAAAAGGAAATTGGGACCAGAACAAAGATTGACTTTGGACCAAATACTGGTCAATAAGTAATCGTGAAATACTGATAATCTAATCTTTCAATATGCAGTAAGCAAGTGAAAGCCGCAACTGCATTCATGCATTCTCAGCCACAAGGGTGTGTGTACTGCTGCCCATTGCATCTGTCCAGGGTTCACAATTCAAGGATTTCTATGGGAGAAAATAATAACCAGAGGCATTACGGCACTGTGAACCTCAGCAAAACACAAATAGAATGATCTAGTTGTACATGGCATAGCACTTTAGCTTTCTTCTCTACCTTGAAGGTCAGAAGGGACCATCAATCTTTGCACACCTGTTAGGGTGATCACTATTTAAATTTGCAGCTTCAGGATGAAGAAGAAAACTTGTCTCTTATTGCACTTGCTAAGAAGCAGAGGTCTGAAAGTTCATTACCTTACAAATAATGCTGACTTCTTTCTGAATAACTGAGTTAAGAACTAACTAGTAAAAGAATGTGAGGAAAAAAAATCTTGTTCTTTAGTCTTTTGCCAAGCAAGCAGAACTAATCTTCTTTTAAAGCAATTATCAAATAAAGCTGCATTTATTGAAGACACAATTAGGTAAGCATCTAGAGCAGTATTTCTCAATCTTGAAAACTTTAGGATATGTTGACTTCAACTCCCAGAATTGCCCAGCTAGTTGAAGTCCACTCATCTTTAAGCTGCCAAGAATGGAAACAAGAGTTATGATTGTGCAGTATTGGGCTGAATTGAGAAGACTATAGGATCCTGCAACTCCACAGGTAAGCAAACCCCAGCAGCTTGCAAATTAAAGTCTTAGAGTGACTTTATGTAGTGATAAGCTGCTAGAAAGAAATAATGTTGTTCTTATGTTCCAGATATCGACCCAACTGTAAATTCATCTGAGTCTGTAAATTAAATCCCATGTATCAGATGGAAAGTCAGCTTCTCATGTAATACATAGACATAAAGAAGAAAAACAAAGCTCTGATTTCTACTCTCATTCTGTTTCAATTCAACCTCTTCAGTGTTAATTCCCCAGAAAGATAAGACAACAGAAGCAAAATACAGAAGCCAAAGAATAACATGTAGTATATACAGATGTTTGTGAAGATCAGTCACACATATATGCTGTACGCATTGAAATTGTCCTATCATTTTCAAATGTCCTATCCATTTAGTAAAAGTAAACTAAATTGTAAAACTCTAAAACACAAGTATATTCCATGTAGGAAATAAACCAGCAAGCTACTCTATACCTGACAGAAGATTTATCCATTTTAACAGATGCAAGGGACAATACTTTGCTTTGGAGGGGGATGCATATTAAGAAGTATACATAGGCACTTTGTATACAGTTGAAATATTCAAATATTATAAACAAATAGTTGTAAATTGATACTCTCTTCCAATATACCTAGTCAGTGCTGTTTACTCTGGAGTATCACAGAAAAAGGTTTTCATATAAAGTCCTACCCAATCATTTTTTCAACTGGAGAATAGCAGGAAATAAGCCCAGAACCTTATTTGTGTGAAGAACTAAAAGATTTTGTTAACCATTTCTTAAATGTCAGTGACAACTTGCTGCCTATGTCAATGTTATTTCAGAAATACCATTTTACTAATTTATAACATTTTACTAATTGCAATTGGGAATTTGCATCTTGGCAAAAAAATTCAAAGGATATAATACCATTATTATTAGGAAATAATATATTAAATTTTCATAGTGAATAGAATTGCATTTGCTTTTATGTGCATCAAATTGTTTGGGAAAACTTGATGTGAGTGTTACCATCTCATAATACAATATGAATCTGGATATTGCAAATGCTCAGAAGCATCTGTGTTCTCAAAGCTGAAATTATGATCCATTTGTGCTTGTTTCATCAAGGAAGAGTAGTTCAAAATATATCTATATTTTTGGAAGTAAGCCATATAATATGGATGTACTGTATTAATGGTGTATATTCTGAAGAGATAATTTCAGAGTTATGAAGAGTATAAAGAGGCCACACAAATGAAAAAGTTTTATTTGATTTGATTTTTGCTGCATCGTTTTTTAGGGACATGAGATTTATTGACCTTACAATCAGTCTTTTTGTACAATATTGAACATTGCTCTAAGTTAAAAATAATTAGTATTTAACAAGAGTTTCTTTAATATTAACCTAGCAACTTTATTTCTGCAACTGAATAACAGAATAACAGACTTGGAAGGGACCTTGAAGTTGGAATTTGATCTTCCAAATGATTTACACCGTCCTATTATTTGTATTATCTATTGCCCTTCAAAAGCAAAATATAAAAAATAGAGATAAAAATACTTGCGTAAATTGTAATTTACATTCAAATGATTATAAGAACCAAACAAGCAGTAATGTTTATTTAATTGCTATTTTCTTACTTTTCTAAAGGTCATGCAAATTTTCTGCTACTCTCAATATAGAGTTGATTAGCATTTCTGAGAAAAGTTGTCAGATAAATTTTCTCAGAAAGGGGGAAAAACTAATATTTAAAAAATTAACAAGATAACTTCCAAATATTCCCATGAAAAGAATGTAAAACATTTCCTTTCTCCAGACATTTCTTACTTACGAAATTGCTGAAATCTTATAAAATTATCTAAACTGTCATATGACATTCATGATCTCAGCAAATTTCTCTTATAAAACTTTAAAAATGTCTTATGTGAGATTTTACTGAAATTTCAAAAGTATTTGCCTGAAGCCATGTTCATGTTTCTTCCGTGGCTTGCATTTTCCAGATTTCCAAGTGAGATCTTGTGGGATTTTTGTGATTCATGCTTAATTATTTTATTAAAAGTATCTTATTTGAGGAAGAATAGAAATGCCTTGAGATAGTAGTTAGAGCAGCAGAAGATACTGAACCACCAATGATAATGTGTTGTTAAGCCCTAATAGAAAATATGTATGCCTATATTATAACAATATTAGTTTCTCACCTCTTGAGAAACAGACCCACAAAATTTTTAAACTATTTGCAAGTTATTACCTGTCATGGATGATATTCAATATTCCCCTTCCCAAGTGGGTCCATGACTGTCCAAAAGCTGTATTGGGTCAGTCATTCTCTCAGTGTTGTCTCTGTGAAAAAAAATAAAAATAAGGTGTACCAATATTAGTTACTGAATAAAAACCAGAATATAAACCTAAGAAACAAATAAAGGAAGCTATGAAACAATAGTTTATTGAGAAGACCCTCAACTCCAAAAGGCTACTATGGGAAATTTATGATCAATAATATCATGTATTAGCTGCCATTTGAATGGCCAGCAGCCTCAGTGGGAGCCTCTGAGAAATGCAGTGGACATGGTAATAATGAAATATGGAAAAGGCATACAACACACATGACTTTTTCCAAATTTGGAAAGAGTTTTTTTTTTTTTTTAAAGTTTCTCTGTGTGGGAATGTTAGTGACATATTGTTTAAGCTTAGTCAGCATTTTTTCTGTATTTCTACGAAGTGATAAGAAATCATTATATTAGGTTTTGGCAGCTACACCACCGTTTGATAGTGTAATGAGAGTCAGACTAAGTGCATAAAAAGAGGCTTCAGTTCTATTCCATATTTTACGATGTGTGTTTTTTTTCTCCCAGAAATCCTTAGTATGCAATTTCCATTAACTTTAACTCTATTATCTTTAAATCCAGCTGCTTAACTTTCAAGAGAATTGTATAATCCTCTAAACCATTCAGAGACTCACAGCTTTTGGATAATCTTCTAAACATGAAATGCTCTTTTGTAGATCAGAATAGTTACGCATTTATCTACCTGAAATATTTCACAGTAGCTATAGGATATGACTTACAAGCAAGATGACACAAAGCAAAGCTAACTTTTTTTCCTTCTGCAACATTGTACCGAACACAGAGAGAGGAAGGGCAAGGAATTGCTGGAAGTGGTTTCTGGAGGAAGCTGTTTTAGCTAAACAAAGCCTCTAGGGAACACAAAGATATCAGAAGCTGTGAGAGAGCCAGGCGGCTGAGGGATATGAGCAGGTGGAAAAAAAAATGCTGCTGAGAGAGCAGTGTTGGAAAAGCTAATAAACCTTGCCTGTCAGAAGAACTATATGACAGGAGACAGGCAGAGAAAAGACTCTGCAGAGAAAAGACTCTTCCCTTTTTCAGTTGGGTTATACAGCAGTGTAATTCATTAAAGCTTGACAACTGTCTAGTCTGGCTCCCTTCTATAATATGCTTGCATTCTACCAAAGGAGCAAAGAAGCAAAATGGCACAGGGGAAGACAGCTGAGTAAGGAAAGTCTATCTGAATTCTGGACAGGACAGATTGGCTACTATGAGAAAAAAATGACCAACAAAAGTAAGGAAGGACTAAGAAATACCCAGACAAACCAATAGCACAACAGAGTCAGGGAAACAGCAACTTATTTTCCTTTTCACACCAGGAGGTGATGGTGGAGACTTAAGTACATTTTTACCTAAAAGTAGATTTGCTGCTTGGAGAAAGGGAAGACTGCATTTTCCCTCCAATATGGGCTATATTAACTGCTTAGGACAGGCAGCATTTACCCTTGTCTCTACCATTTAAAAGGACTAGCCTTAGCACCAGCAGAACAGAAAGAAAAGGGCAAACTCTACCACACTAGCTTCCAATATTTTATTGGATGGGCAGGTGGATTGAAAAAGAGGGGAGAGAGACAGTGGTAGATACATGGACAGTCAGACAGACAAGGGTTCTCCAAAAATTCAGAATCTCTTTGTAGTTCAATTCGGCCTAATTAGATTGTTCCCAAGAACTGAGACCCAATCAGCAACCCCAGAGAGACTTAGCATTAACTTGCACTGTTCTATCACAAAAGCAAGTTTATTATTAAAATGCCAACAATGAATTAAAATTAAGATATTTAATTGAACTAATTTAAATAAATATGCTAATTAAAGTAATTTATTATCAAGTTTTCATGGGTCACAATAAATTTTATCACATTTGTGGAAGATGGTCTTGGAAAATATCTACTCTTATATTTGTTGCCTGAGTGGTAGGGATATTAGTTGAATATAATGTGAGAAATTTACTTATAAAGTGTGATAATGTAAAAAGCAATAGTGTTGTTTTTGATGCAGATATTCTGATAATTATAAGTTGGTGTTTAGTATACCTAGAGCTTCTAGCAAGCTAAGTCTCTGTTTAATCCATAAGAAATGGAGTGAAATCTCCAGATAAATTCAAATATTCAGAATGAGAATAATTTTTGAAAAATAGATCCGCACTGAGGTCAGTGACAGAGTATTCCTTAGAGTTTAAATGTTTCTTCCATTCAATGTATTTATTAAATTTATATACCACTCTTTCACCAGTAATGTGATTCTGGGAAACTTACAGATGATACAAAATATAGAAATAATTAAAATTTTAAAGTATAAAAATCTAATGTGTCCCTAAAAATTATTAAGGTAGCATCGTAGAATAGAGGCAGTTTAAAGCAGGGTGAGGGATTGTTTTGTTTTGTTTTGTTTTTGTAAAATAAGAGTGTTCAGGTCTGATAAATAGAATGTTTGCAGATATCAAGAAAGTCCTTTAGGTATTGCTCAAAGGGCTCCAATCATGATTGGTATAACAATGGATTTCTTTCACCATAAGCATTCAACTTCAATCTGCTAGACCCAGTATTTCAATTATTTCATCCTTTTTAGTAGAACGGCAACATTCACTATTGTTTACTACCTGTTGAATTTTTACCTTCATGCATTTAGTTGACAAAGCTTATACCTGAGTTGCTAAAATAAAGCCTTTATTTACTTTAACATTCCTGATCTTAACCAACTCCCTGTGGGTTTTTTTTATCAACTTTGCTTTATATATTGACGATGCATTGGCTTGTTCTTCCAATTAGCAAATCAATTTTCAAGTTCATCCTTCCCCTTTGTTGTTTTCAAGCATTTTCCATATTTGATTGCCTTCAGCAAGGGTTCTTGGCTTTTCTTAATGTAGTTATTCAGGCAATGCTATTCCTCTTCCACAATTTATCTCATCTGTAAAAGCGTGCTCTCTAAGCATCCCCATAACATCTAAGAATATAAGCTGTTTCCAGCATTATGAAAGCCAGCTGGTTAACTTTGAAGTAATCACTCTCTCATCTCACAACATCAGGTTGTGATGTGAGATGAGAGAGTCGGTCACTTCCTATTGCAACCAATGGATCAATCCTCACTTGATATGAAAAAGTCAGATCAAGCGAGAAACACTAGAAAGAAAAATATATATATTAAGAACTATGTACTGTATTATCACTACCCTCAGGAAGATGAAGTTCTCTCATTTAGAAAATATATTAAGAAAAATGATGGATGGATTATGCTTAACAATTTACCGTAGGTATGTTAGGGTGGAGAGAAGCTATTATTAATTCTTCCATGCCTCAACTCTTTCAAAGACACATCAGTAACACATATTCAGTAGTACGCTGGAACAAACACATTTGGATGCTTTTTCTTGCAGCAAACTCCAAATAAAAACCATCTTGTTGCAATCTGTAGGAAATTCACCTAGCCAGCTTGCATAAACTAAGTTTATGCATCCCAAATTGATCCTGATTTTGCTTCAAATTTTTCTTGTAAATTCCCATGACAGCACAAATAACTTTGGGCTTCAGCTTGTTGTATTGTCCCTGGCTGACACAAGCCTTGTCCCAAACATTGTTTGAGATAGACCACATCAGATAGACCACATCAGAAAATAAACACAAAAATGTTAAAATTCTGCTTCACTGATATAAGCTATAATAACATAATATAGCAAAACAGCATTTCTCTTTATTTTATTATACCAAGACAATAAAAGTGGGGCAATTTTGAATCTCTTTCTTGCACTGTTTTCTTAGGTTAAACTCGTGCTTATTAATGGTTACTACATATTGTCTTCAAGACCATGTCCATGCTACTTTCAACTATGTTTCCTGAAATTGCGCAAGATTTTATTTGTATACCCACTTGCTGTTGATATTGTAACAATGCTTTGGCCAGTTGTTCTGATCAGATGCCACTGATTTAGCAGCCACTGAATCAAACAATGATATCTTCTAAGGTCCCTCCTCAACCAGCACTGATGCTTCTTTAGCCAATATGGGTGCCAAGAAGCAGGATAAATACCTTCAGCCTGAGAATCCTGCACCCCCTCAAAGTAAACACCTTGTGAGCAAGCAGCAAGACACTGATTCTGTAAGCAAGCCTGGTGCCTCATTATTGACAACAGATAAACCTGGAAAACTTCAGCTGTGCATACTTGGCAAGAAGAGGATTTAAACTGTGCAGGGACTGCATTACATTGCTGGAGATATCTCTGACATCTGCCTTTGAGTGGTTTTGTTTTTTTTGTTTTTTGCTCTAGGTGCCTTGGCCTGTTCCTGACCAAGTCACTAACTTTTATTCCCTTTGAAACCTTTTGAGTTTCTGATTATGAACTGTCAGACTTTGGATTATGTCTTCTCAGACTCTTGTAAGCTCCTGTGCACATGCATGCTTTTCCTCCTTCTTCCTTACTCCTCTTCTGTTGCCTTACCTTTGCTTGTCTGCTGCCATCTTTCCTGACACCTCACAAACCTGGCTGCAAATGGTCTGCTCCAATTGCTTTGCCTCAATTTTTTTCCACACTTTCCTTGTGCCTTCCATTGTTTTTTTCATTACATTTTGACCAGGGTGTTTTTCCTGGCCAACATCTCTGCAAGACTTGCTCCCCAAATGCCCATATTTTGTGGGGATTTTTTCCCTTTGCTGAAGTCTGGAAACAAAAGGCAACTCATTCCTTTACAGGTCATGAATCTGTAGCTGCCACCTCTCAACTGTAGTAAGAAAGAATTCTATATGGTCCCTTAACTTTGGAATTTTAGTAGCTTTAGGGCAGGGGTGTCAAACTGCTGGCCACAGCCTGGATGCGTCCTGGTGAAACTGCACCCATCGCATTGCCAGCAATGGAAAAAAAAGTCACGATACGTTGTGACACATCACATGATGTTGCGAGTTTGACACCCCTGCTTTAGGGCCTTCCTATTATGAGGTAGGGAAGAAGATCCACTCCTCTGCCAAGAGCAGCTACTTCTATGCCTATGAGTGTTTGGATCATTTGCTTAAAGATTTTCAACTAAGACTCCCTCTCTAATTTCTTACATTCTAGTCTATCACATCTTTTGATTCCTTTCCAAACCTATTTTCTTCCTGGTGGTTCAACATTTCAATCAATTTGTTTCATTTATGATATTCTCACAAACCAAAGCCTCTCAATTTGCTAGATTTACTTATAGACTTAAGGGCAGGATGATGACTTCTCTCTACCTCCTTGGACTCGGAGGAAACACAGTTCATTGTCCGCTTCTTTTTCTGGATAGCCTGACTTAGACAAGTTACCTGGCTCTTTATCTGAGAATATGAGGTGGCTGGAGCAAGTGGATGCTATAAGGGAATTATCAGAATATGGGAAAGAAAAGGGAGTTGCTAAACTGTGGCAAATAAAGAACAGCTGGACATATCAGTTTTGTATCTTAAGTGAGGCCTCAATTTATAAGTTAAGAAATCTAGGAGAAAGACATCCAAGCAATTCACAGATATTTTACTTTAATGTTCTCACTAATGAATGAGGATTTCTTATTTTTCTTATTTAATTTCCAAGATTGTCTTATCTGTTCCCTTCTTCCTGCATTAAAACTGATTAATAAAACTCTATCTTGCTTCCTTGGTTATGCACTGCGGTTGGAGACAGTACAGGTGATCTGTTCGAGACCTCCATTTATTAAATAGCCATTTCTGTTTTCTGTAAGACTGAATTTGAAATATGTACCTTGATCATATATGCAAATGAATAGCAATATGAAAAATACTAAATATAGTTTATCATTCGAACAAAAGACAATATGTGCAATGTTTGCTAACTATTTTTGCACAAATGCAACTATGTGAAAATGGAAAGCCAACTCTTTGCAATCTGGAAGCCTTCCCTGGCTGCAAGCCCTTTTACTAATTATCATAATAAGTAAATATTACTGGTATTCCAAATTGTGCAAGTAAAACAATAATACAATCACATTATTTTGATGTCAATAAACTATGTTTTTGGAAATAAATAATTTCTCCAAGTT